CTTTTGCCTTGACTCAGTCCTTCTTTTCTCACTTGGACTCTTGCAATAGCCTTCTAACTGCTAGACTTAGCCCCTTTCAAGCATCACCCTGTTGCCAGAGTGATCATTATAACATTCTACCCCATTTATGACTCTGCAAAATTTCTCTATCACAACAAGATCAATTCCAAACCTATGACAGGAATATCCTTCCCAGTCTGGTTTCTACTTCCTTTCAAACCTTTTCTCTTGCCAGTCCCCTGTGTGCCAGCCATGTTTAATTACCTGCTAGTCAGCTTTTGCATATTTTCCCCTTTGCTCTATCTAGAAAGTTCTCTGTTCCCTATTACTACAACTCCCTCTTGCCCACAAATTTTCTAGGCTCAAACCTAGAAAATCCCTACTCATCTTTTAAGATTCACATGGAGGATCTTCTTCCCTAAGAAACCTTTCCTGACTTTCTCAAATGGAGTGACAACTTCTTCTCTAATCATTGTCACCGGATTGTCCTATGCATATCATTCTCAAAGCATTTGTATCATGGTCTGTAGTTTTAGGCTACATGCCTGTCTCCGCCAACTAATCTATAAACATCTCGATGACAAGAAACTCTTACTAAATTTTGTAATTTACTTTCAGCAGAGAGTAAAATACATAGTTCCTGGCACATAGAAAATGCAAAGTAAATGTTACCACGTGGCTAGGGATATAAAGGTAAGGAATTAATTTCAAACTCATATCATAGGAAAATAAATTTTTTTAACATCCAGATGATGGTTGATTTTTTTTAACTTGTATATACCTTGTCCAAAATGAGAAGGGTGTGTGGGTGTGTGTGTATGGGTATGTGTCACGTCCCAACTCAGTTCTTGGGTAAAGTTAAATAACTTCCGTAAGCTTTGGTTTCCTTTCCTCTGAAACTTCATAAAGAAGAGTTCATTATAGCATCTGTTTCATGGGATTGTTGGAAGGCTAACTCAATAAATGCTCATAGTGAGGATACTTAGTAAGGTGCCTGTGTTAGTTTCCTATTGCTGCTGTAACAACTTGGTAGCTTAAAATAACACAAATATAGTACCTTAGAGTTATGGAGGTCAGAAGTCCAAAATTGGTCTCACTGGGCTAAAATTAAGGTGTCGGTAGTACTGTATTCCTTCTGGAGGCTCTAGGGGCCAGTCTGTTTTCTGCCTTTTCCAGCTTCTAGAGGCTTCCTGCGTTCCTTGGCTTGTGGCCCCTTGCCATCTTCAAAATGAGCAATGGCCCATTGAGTCTTTCTCACACTGCATAGCTCTGACACACACTCTCTCACCTCCCTCTTCTGCTTACAAGGATTCCATGACTACCGTGGGCTCACCTGAATAATCCAGGATAATTTCCCCATCTCAGATTCCCTAACTTACATCTGCAACATCCCTTTTGCCATGTAAGGTATGTAAACTAACCTATTCACAGGTTCTGGGACTCGGGATGTGGACATCTCTGGAGGGAGCATTATTTTGCTGCCACAGTGCTCAATCCACTCATTGTAAATGATCAGTAATACTTGACTATTATTGTTGGAAATGCAGACTGTTTCTTAAACATTGTTAAATAGAGCTGTGTTATAGCTGAAACACTTTTGAGCCATACAGCCTTGATGTAATGTGGCCTTCTATTAATAACTTAGCATGAAAGAGTCACAGTTGTTTTACTCCAAAAGTGGGTTAAGTGATTCACTTTTGAAAATTACCTTAGCCATTTTATTATGCTGGGATGCACTTAGAGTAAAAGGAAATTGGCATTTATTTAAAAGTACCTTAGGACTTCCCTGGTGGCGCAGTGGTTAAGAATCTGCCTGCCGATGCAGAGGATACGGGTTCGAGCCCTGGTCCTGGCAGATCCCACATGCTGCGGAACAAATAAGCCTGTGTACCACAACTACTGAGCCTGCGCTCTAGAGCCCGTGCTCCGCAGCAAGAGAAGCCCCCGCAGTGAGAAGCCCGCGCGTTGAAACAAAGAGTAGCCTCCCGCTCACCGCAACTAGAGAAAGCCCATGCACAGCAACGAAGACCCAGTGCAGCCGAAAATAAAAATAAAATATAAAAGTACCTTAGTAGCCCTAAGGAAGACAATTTTACTTTCATTACTATTACTGTGTAGTAATGACTAACAGTTATTGAGAACTTACTGTATGCCAGGAACTGTTCCAAGTGTTTATGTATGTATTGACTAATTTGATCCTAATGGCCGGCCCAATAAGGGGAGGTACTTTGATTTTCCTTATTTTATGGCAGTTGAGAGTTTGCCCAAAGTTTCAGGGCTAGTAAGTAGTGATGGGATTTAAACCCAGGTGGTCAGGCTGTAGAATCTGTACTTTTAACCACAGCACTGTTAAAATAGGAATGTGGAAAAGGATGGGGCAACACTGAAAGAATGAACACTCTACTTTGGGCTGATATCTCTCAGCATTTTTGTAGCTCATCGTGATGTAGCTTAACAGTATTTAGTCTTACTGAATTCTGTCTTTTGTGCTTTTAAAAAATGCGTAATAGAGGACCAACTGTGAGTTGAGAGTTGGTTAGTTTCCAGAGATGCTTGAAAACAAATGGTCTAGTCAGTTTAGGCTTTTAAAGACAGGTCCTTTAGGCTTGTCGTCTTTGTCTTTCTCTCAAAAATATAGTTTAGGGACATTAGCTGCAGCAACTACCGTATATCATGTGTTATCTTTCTATTCTGCCAACTTGCTTGGATATGGAGAGTTTAAGAGCAAGGAAACTGCTTTTTTTTTTTAAGGAAGTTGTTTTTCAAGGCAGTGTTTCCTGAAAAAGTTGGTGTTTAAAGAATATTTTAGAGTAAACAGATATTATTAGCACTTTCACCCCTATGGTTAGGTGAAAAAGTTAAAGGAAAGATTATTAATAAGGCTAGTCATTACAAACAAAATGTTAAGAACAACTGTTGAAATTATTTCATACGATAAGGAACTCCCTTTAAGTGAATTACACAGGGCTATAACTGAGGAGTTGGCATTTGCTCAAAGTGTGTTGATAGAGCTGGATGCTGACTTATAGGGTCAGTGTGATAAGTAAATTGATTTTATGGGTCTTATACATTCATTATAGCCATGTTAGTGGAAATAACACGTTATGTGCAAAATCTCTATGCCAAAATTAGCAAAGAAGAGAGCAACTAATAAGTGAAAAATAAAATTATATCTAATTAGTAAATTTTTCTGTATGAATAAAATAGACATTATATAGAGAACAAATCTATCACATTTATCTTGATCTAGGATCAATTCTAAATCATTTTGAAAATCATAAACAATTAAATGAAGTCTTTCATTTCACCTACTGCATTTAATATTTATTCATAATCGCACAGTTTGGGGAGTGTGTACCTGCACCACATGGTCATGATTTAGCTTTTACACTCCACCGTTTTACTTAGAATCCTGTTGACCTTAGTTAGCTAGAAAACAGCTGGTTTTCTATTTTGATTTGTAGTTAATGTTTTCCAAGTGTCAAGCACATGGAGAGAAATTTTTTCTGTAGACTGATATTAAACATTTTATTTATATTTCTTTTTTTTTTTTTTAATGGTCCATGGGCTGCTTGGAAAAGTGAGAGCCAAGTAGAGCATTCACTGTAAATGCTTTTAGGGAAAAAAAAGTCTCCCTTGGGTATTTCTATAATGGATCAATATCACATTCATTTATTTTCGTGGCATACTCAACCAGAGTGCTATATTCTGGAAACACTCTGTTGTCTATTTTGACTGAGTTAAAAATACATGATCTCTTTCAAATTTTTCAGATTTTCTGCCTAAAGCTAAAGCTAGGGGATTCCCAATAGTCTTAGGTTGGACTCTTTATTTTGTCCATGAATAAATACCTTGAGGAAGTGACCAGTTGATAATCTTAGTTTAATGCCTATTTCTTATAATCAAATTTATAGCTTCTGGTCGAAGATGAAGATAATATAGTTTCTTCTTTTAGTTTTGCTGGAATTGGAGTTTTACTTTTTTGGGGGGGGTGGTTTCTACGAGTGTTGGGAAATATTTGAGCCCTATTATTTTTATTATCTGTTGTGTGTAGTTCACTGAAATTTAGTGCCAAGTGTGGAGAAATAGAAGGCCGCAGGTAAGCTGGCACTGTTGTCCTTTGTGGCAGGTAGAAAGATAGGGAGAGCTTGTGTCCTGGGTACTGAGGAGCCTAAAATGATGTGTGAAATTGAGACACTGAGAAAGCAGGAAGGAAACACTGTAAGATTTGCCACATTTTATTTGTGGTGAGTCCCAGGTGAGGTAGAATTGCCCTAAATTCTTTGGGCACTAGGAAACCTGGATGGGAGACTCAATTTCTAAACCTTTAGCTCTTGAGAAGCAGTAGCCACCTCACAGGGTTATGTGATCTACGACAGAAGAGAAACTACTGGTTGTCTCGAGAAGTGGGTGGTCTTGCTGGCCATCATTTTCTCTTTGCGTTTGCCTGGGAAAGCAGCTCTAGAGTTTCCCTAATACGTTTTTTAAAATAAATATTTCTAGACAATTCTCTAGCAGTCCAGTGGTTAGGACTCCGCACCCTTACTGCAGGGGGCACGGGTTTGATCCCTGGTTGGGGAACTAAGATCCTGCAAGCCATGCAGTGCAGCCAAAAATAATAAATAAAAATAAAATAAGGGGCTTCCCTGGTGGCACAGTGGTTGAGAATACGCCTGCCAATGCAGGGGACACGGGTTCGAGCCCTGGTCCGGGAAGATCCCACATGCCACGGAGCAACTGGGCCCGTGAGCCACAACTACTGAGCCTGCGCGTCTGGAGCCTGTGCTCCGCAGCAAGAGCGGCTGCGATAGTGAGAGGCCCACGCACCACGATGAAGAGTGGACCCTGCTTGCCGCAATTAGAGAAAGCCCTCGTACAGAAACGAAGACCCAACTCAGCCAAAAATAAATAAATAAATATATTGTTTTTTTTTTAAAAAGTAAAATAAATACTTCTAGTAATGTTTTAAAATATCTTTTTTTGGTCTTTCAGGAACATTAAAAAAAGCCTATTTTAAATCAAACGGGAGTGAACCTTTGGTCACTGATGGTGAAGTCCATGTGTATGATGTTATTCTTCCAAGTACAGCTCATAACGAGAGCACCGGGACATCTACTGCCAATCCCACCCAACACATTCCAGCCTGGACTATGGATGCTTCTCTCCCAGGGGACCAAAATCACAGGAGCACAAGTAAGTCTGAAGGTACTAAGTAGCTGGGCCCTTTAATGTCTGTGGAACCCGCAGGTAGATTTTTAAGTGTGGCAACTGATGCTCTTAATCACAATCACTTACTGGTCACACAGGAAGAGCTCTGCTCCCTTATCTAGCAAGCAGAGCCAAGTGCCCTGTTCCTAAACATGAAATGCCCTCAGCTCAGCCATCCAGATAGGGACTGGAGTAAGAAATAAGAAGGTACCAATGCCATTCAGTGTTTCTGAGACATAAAAATTGATGCTGCTTGCCCCAGTATGACAGTGTCGATTTTACGGTGGTTCTGTTTTTTAAGTTTTAAGTTACTTATTTTGAGATGGTTAAATTAATAAGTAAACTAAGTTACTTATTTTGTTATTGGTGCCTTGTGGCAGGTATCCTAATTCTGTGGTTCTTCGAGGTAATTTCGCTGTAAGCATCTTTGCCTTAGATATCTTTGCTGTAAGCATTTCTGCCTCGTAATTAATTGGTTGTAAGGCAATTTAACCATGAAAGATATAAAATGAAAAATGAAAGAGGGACATTTAAAAAGACATAATGAAATGTGAGAAATGAATAACAATTAAAAGGACATTGCTAAATACAAAATTTTTGAATATGTTTAAAATGTGTGTAGATTCATGGTGACACTGCACAAATAACTGATTTTATTTTGTGAGTTGTACCTTGTCTTCCAAGTCTTCTGTTTATAGTATTTTTATACACTTCTTTTTGGCTTGTTGATTTGTCTCCTCGTTCAGCATTGAGCTTTTTCTTTTTTGCTAAAATTTGTTCCTTTGTTAAGAGAGGTATCAGTTTCCAAATACTAGGATGCATATTCGTAACTGAGTTCTGTGTTGCACTGTGAAAGCCTTCTCCACTGGTGTTTGTTCCTCGCGTACTGTCACACGTCCATTGATAGACTTTCCAAAGTTCTATGGGAAATGTAGGTTCAACTCTGCGCCTCTGAGGCCCTCAGCCTCTTTCTCCTCCAGTGCAGTGTTTCAAGATAAGAAACCAGCACAAAGCAAATCGTCTTCTGTCAGCTCAATAAAGCCATCAATAACGTCTCTAAGTGGAAGAAATGATAACACATTTCAACCCGTTGAAACCAAACTGTCACCAGGTAGTTTACCTTTCATTGCAGAATTGCCTTACAGTCAATTAGTTATGTGGTGAAAATGTTTGCAGTGAGATGCTTACAGTGAGAAGTGAGAAGACCAGGCACGCAGTTCTATAATCAAATGCCAAGGGATTTGACAGGAGCTATCCCTTCATCTGCTTTCGAGGTGTCTGTGTGTTCTCTCTCATTTCCTGGTTTTATTGGCTATGCAGTTTATTTTACTTGTTGGTGACTGACGGATAATCACACCTTGAGGAAAATGGCATGGCCAAAACTTCTATTTGAGGACAAATGGAGGTATTTGTTCCAGAAAAAGTGCTTGCAGAGAGAGAGAGAAGACAGAAAGTGTGGAGATGGGTCCAGTTAGATGGCAACAGATGATATGCTCCGGAATGTGACTCTATCCCTCAATACCCCTCCAATTTTTTTAGTAAAGTTACTAACCTTCCAGAATGCTAGTGGGAGTGGATGAGTGTGGAAAGTTACCTAGTCAGTACTGATAAATCATAATCACAGCACAGTCACTGTTAAGAGCTTTCTCTGCAGTTGTCTTGAGTCTTACTTTCTACTTCCTAAAACAAGGTTATGTGATTGAAAATTACCCAAAACCCATTCATCCCTGATCACTTTCTTGTTTGTTGCTCCCTCCTTCCTGAAAACCTCCAAAGGGAAATCACATCTTAGGTCTAGGACAGAATATTTATTTTCATTCTGAGCCAGGAAGGGAAGGACTAAGCTGACTCTTAAGCTATCATAGTATGTTTGCCAGTATCTGAAGAAACGCAGGATTATTCTCTCTCTCTAGCCCCAAAGAGTCAGAATGTTTGGCTTCCATTGTTTCATGGAGCACTGATAGGTATTAACTGTTTCTTATGCTTAAGAGTTCACCAGCGATTTATACGGATTCATATTCATTACCTGACGGTAATACTACAAACCCAAATTATGCTAAGTAAAATTTGTTTTCCTCAAGAGTTTGATTTTGAAGTTTTTAATATTTCAGTCATGTCTTCAGCACTTCATTCTTTTTTTTTTTTTTTACATCTTTATTGGAGTATAATTGCTTTACAATGGTGTGTTAGTTTCTGCTTTATAACAAGCACTTCATTATTCTTAGGGCAGTGTTTTTCAACAAAAGGGCAGAAGTAATTTAAGCAAAAACTCAGTCCAGTTAATGTGGTTGCAATTACAGCAATTGTTATTTTCTTTTACAAGGTGGATTTGTCTCTATTTTGAAAGTTCTGTCATTTGTTAAGATTCAAATAGAGGTGACAAACACATACCCTGAAGAGTAAAGAAACATATGGTCCTTGCTGCTCAGTTTGGAAGTTTGATGGGGGTCTGTTTGACTCATTTTCTCTTTCTATGGGTGGAACATTGCTTGAGAATATGAACGTAATTCGACATGTAAAGGAAACCCAGGTGAAATTAGAATGAGTAAATGTAGAAAGGTCAAAACCTTTGAAAATGTGTCATTCTGTCTTGTTAATGTACTTGACAGTTAGCCCTGGGCTTTACTGTCTCACCACATAGACCCTCGATAGACTGTCTATAATAACTAAAATTATTTACTGTTAGGGATTTGATAGTTTTTCATACACTTCAGTAATACTGCTAGTCTGTGAGTATAGAGCTTTCGATAGTTCTCAGGGCAAGTTTGAATATTTTCTTTGTGGTCCTTATTATTATTTTTTTAATTTTATTGAAGTATAGTTGATTTACAGTGCAGTGTTAATTTCTTCTGTACGGCAAAGTGATTCAGTTATACATATATATATATATATATATATATTCTTTTTCATATTCTTTTCCATTATGGTTTATCACAGGATATTGAATATAGTTCCCTGTGCTACACAGTAAGACCTTGTTGTTTATCTCTCTGTGGCCCTTATAAATAGCTGACAAGGTATGCAGGACAGGTATACAGACCATTTTTCAAGGTATGAAATTGAGGCTTAGGGAAATTAAGTTGATGTATCCGGTGTCACTTATTTACTAATTGGTAGCCATGGAATTGGGATTCAGGTCTTGGGACTCCTAGACCAGCGTTCTTTCAAGTATTTCATGCTTCCTTATTTAATTTCATTGCTTTCTTTTCAGTAGCAGGAGCATTTCTGAGCAAATTTTAAGCTCCAGGAGAGTAATGTATTTTGTTTACTGCTTTATAGCCAGTGCTCAACAAAATATTTGTTGAATGAATAAATAAATGAACTACAGTCATTTCAAAAATTTAATATCTGACCTCTTTTTATTGGTGATGCCAAATCACACTTCTCACTTGGTGTTTATTTAACCAGTTTTACTTAAAGTATAATTTAATGCTTATTTCTCTACTAACACCTAGCAGAGAATTTACTTTTATTCCTTTTTTAAAAAAATATTATTCTCTAATTAAAGTGTCATTCTAAATTTCTGGCATATGTAAAAGCTTTTTGAGTCCACTCTAGTCCAAAAATACAGTGGCGAGACATTCTGTCCTTCTCAATATCCTGGGTAGAAAACGAAGAGGAGAACTCCTGGCAAAAAGTACCAGGAAATAGCCTTTCCTTAAGACACTTCCTTTTGGGGGTCCTTAATATCATGCCAAAGCAAAGAATACTGCAGTTTGTAAAGTTTTAGCCAGATGCCTCCTAGGTTACACTGTGTGGCAGAGCTTTGTAAATGTGAAATAGGCTTTATGTGACATCCATTACATCTGGAATTTCATTAGTTACATTTTGAAAACCAGCTGTAATATGGAAAGGAAAAAGGCCCATAGTTAGCTTTCATGCTGTATCTCAGCAAGGGATTTTCCTAGGTTGCATTCTGTGTTTAGATTTTTATTTTCATCTTTTCTTCTTATATATTTTATAAATAAGCATAAATTGAATTTTAAGGAGAGGGAAAAACTCTTTGACCAACCAAGAGCTTTTGGGTTAAAAATAATATGGCACAAAATAAAATAGCCTAGAAACTCTAATCAGGAATTAAAGTGACATGAGAGTGGGCTAATGTGCTGAAAGCGTAAAGTGTTTTGTTCTCTCATTGTGCTCTTTGATGACCAGCTCCTAAATCTTCTATATCAGATGAAAACACATCATACCTCTCATTCACTTACAGAAAGCTTTTTGAGGTATAATCCACGTACCATTAAATTTGACCTCTAATACATATAATTCAGTATTTTTAAAATGTATTCACAGAGTTGTCAACTATCACCACTCTCTAATTTTAGAACATTTTCATCACTGCAAAAAGAAATGCTGTATCCATTTTTCCTCATTTCCCCTCTCCCTCAGCCTGTGTCCAAAACTAATCTACTTTCAGTCTCTATAGATTTGCCTATTCTGAACATTTCATATAAAGGGCATCATACAATAAATGTGTGGCTTTTGTGACTGGCTTTTCATATTTTTCTTGGATATAGGCACAGCCCTGGCCTTCTGGTATCCCAGGGAATATGTTAGAGCTTTTCAAAGGCCTCTTCAGACATCTCATTCCCTAGTTCTTCCTTTTAAGTGTTTTGGTCAGCCTCTTATTTACAACAGGTATCCTTGCCTCAGGTAGCTGTGATGTTAAACAATTGCCACAGATTGTTTTCCACACGTACCCTGGGGATAGAACTTTTTGCAAAGAGAAAGCTCTGAGTCAGATCAAGTAAAGACAAGTACTGAGAATGGATCCTTTCCAGGGAGCTTCTAGTCAAGTTGAATGGTGATAATTCTCTGCGGGTGGCTTTTTGGGGAGCTTCAGACCCATTCTTCCCCCTAGGTTGCTGGTTTTTATAGATACCATGGTTGCAAGCTCATTGGTTTTCAAGGCTCCTGTAGAACTGAGGAGAGGGTGATGGGAATATGGCAAGTTAAAAATGTTACAAAGCGGGACTTCCCTGGTG